TTGATTTAGGAGCTTTTGCATGCATCCTCCTTTCCAAACATTTTAATGATTGATTTTGTTCCCCTTGGCAAAGTTCCTGTAATTGCGTATGCAGTACACCACACAAAATGCACTTCGCCAAAAGTTCAGATGTGTTAAACTTTGACCTTGGACTGCACTGACATTTGCGGATTTTGCCAGTGGCTTCATGTTATACTCCAAATACAAATTGATAAGGAATTGAGAAGATGTGTGTGTACATTTTCAGAACTTTAAAACAATCAAGAATCACATGGAGGCAAGATTATTAAGAAAATGGCTTCCTCTCATGGTCTTTACCTTTCTACAAAACATAAAGTGTTCCCGCGAAGTAGATTACAAGTGGTCGAAACCCCAAGGTTTACATTCCAGTATGATCAATCCCAAATATGGGCAGTATTTTTCCTGTCTCTTCATTATCATCTGATTCTTTTCTAAGAAACCAATGCTTCTGCGTCATGATGCCATTTTGGTTGCTCTTATATTATTTATAACACATTTTATTTGTCCACACATTAGCTGTTTTGTTGCATTAAAGGTCCCATGTCATGCTTTTCCGGTTATTACCCGTCCTCTTGGTGTTATGAAGGTTTTTCTGCATGTAAACGGTCTGCAGAGTCACAAACCCTCAAAGTACACCCTGTAGCGAGTAAAACTCTGAAAAGACCTGTCTATGCTGCCCCAGAACGCCTTGTTGGAGATTTCTCTTTTTCTTCCTGGGTTCAGTGACGTGACCATACCCAAATGGACCCATTGGTCTCCTCACACACACACACTCTCTCAGAAGCAAAACTGTGACGCGCTGTGGGGGGGGGTCGCTAGTGGAGCCTCGCAGATGGGGGTGCTGCAGTTGCTGTCTCGCAGACCCCACGCAGCAACCAGGAAATGAAACCAGTATTGCAGCTCACATTCTCCGCTCCTCGCGGCAGCGAGCCGCGCAACGTCCCGCCAACACGGCACCCAGACCCCACGCAGCATTGTCATCTGTTTGTCAATACTGGTGTCATTTTCTGGTTGCTAACAAACGCCATTGTAAAACATAATCACTGATGTTCCGCTGTAACGGTGGTGGACTCATCAGAACAGAGTGGGCGAGCTGACCAATCAGAGCTGCCAAGGCACACAGGGGATAGGGCTCACCAGGGAGGGGGGAGCAGGAGCTCCAACAAGCCGTTTAAGGAACAGATGAAGTGAATACACATACTATACAGAGATGCTGTATGAGAAACCAATGTGAGTTTGGAACATTGAACAATGTTAATCTATTCTAGTAGACCTCAACAATGGAATCATGGTCAGTAGAAATGGCTATGACATGGGACCTTTAATGTGTACTGAACTGTAAACTTTGTTTGGGTATTTCTACATCTTCTACATTCATAGCTGCAAAAAACCCTTCGAGTTATTTTGCTTATATATTCACATCCCGACCCTCTTTAAAACAGGAACATTTATTTCTAAGAAAGCACATCTCTCATTAAGTTAATGAAATAAAATGAGCCCTGTCGTGTTCTTGAGTTAATTATTCCACTTAGCCTATCAACAGGAGAAGGGTAATGTAGGTTTTACAATCTTGAAGAAAATGGAAATATATTCTTTTTTTATTTTGATTGAAACTCCTATAGTACTGGATGTATTGGAATATCTAATTTGCACCCATTCACATATTATAGTAAAACAATTCAAACATCTTACAGAGTAAAGCTTTTGATTTAAATGAAGATGTGTTTATTTGCAAAATGTATTTAAATTGTACAATAACTTTAAACAAAAAGACCATGATACTTAAAACATTCATTTTGACAGGAATATCATTCACAAATCCCAACAGAAAGTGCTCAGTCAGCAGCGAGACAATCCTTCCTAGCGCTGCCCTTGTCTTCCATAAGAGCCACAGGAGACCCTGAATATCATTATGTCTGAATCTGACGCATCGTTATGAAGCAGTTTCATGTTCCTGCTTAATTCCTACTCAGCAGAAGATTTAAAGAACGACACATCCGCACCCTGAGACAACCACGCACACGGCAACATCAGAGACACACATATTTAATTAGGTATCAATTTATGCACAGAGGGAATGTCTCACCAGGCTTTGTTCATTATACGTTTGTTACTGATTGAAATTATTTTAGGATTTATTCACATGTGCACAAGATGCGAAATGTAACCAATGTCATATTTAAGGTAGAGAATACATAGTTTCAGTAAATTGCCATGCTATTTCAGTGAAGTTGCATTTTAGAAAACACTTTTGTTGCTTACAGATCATTAATGAAAAGTTGTAAAGCATTATTAGGGGTACAAAGAGTGGTGCAGTGACGAGTCCTAAAACCCGGAAGTGAGTCAGCATTTTACCACTACCGGTTCCCTCGTCTCAGAGCCAATGGGATTTCTCCATAGGATTTTGAAAAATAGCTGGAAATAAGGTCTGTGGTTGACACAAATGTAAGAGACGGATCACGTTTTGTTCTACGACATTAAATACATCAGCAGGGACCCCACTGGGGATTTCTGAAGAGTTTACGTGTCTGAAAAACGATGGTTGTTAACAAGTGGCTGAATAGGACTACAGAAGTTGTCGAGGACGTTGTAGGTCATTACGCCGAACACGTAAACACTCCCGCTAAGTTTGTTTTCCCTGTTCTGTTCGAAAGCAAGTACTTGCGCTCTTGCAAACTGTTCAAACAAACGCTTCAACTTGTACCATTTAGAATCTGTATGGTTGAATATCGATCTTAAGTTGGCGTGACGTTGAAGTCGTGCGACCCTGCTGTACTCGGCTGTAGTTTTCCACAGACCTTATTTCCAGCTACTTTCCAAAATCCTATGGAGAGATCCCATAGCTTTTTTGTCGAGGGAACCCATGCGCAGCTTACTTCCGGGTAAATACGTCATCCCTGCACCGCTCTATTTTAGTCTCATTTAATGAAACCGTATGCATCAGTATATTCCTTTAAACCAACTACTTGCTTCCTTTTCATAGTAGCAGCCTCTATTTCCACTACAACATTCACCTACAGTTATGCAATATAAATATATGGGATTATTTGCATTTTCTGGTTTATAGAAAAAAGACGTTTCCTCTAAAGGAAGAATAAACTACAGACTTAGTCACTGGGTTCAATTCTGAAAATGTATCGGCTCCACCATAGACGTATAATCTGAGTGCATTATTCACTGAGCAGCAGCAGCATCAGAAGCTGCGTTTCCACGTGAACGCTCATACTGTAGATGCAGTTTAAAGTGTGTGAAGTTGTACAGACATTAGTGTAAGTGAGTAATCACTAAGGTTCCATTAGCACTCCCTGTTTATTGCTGTTGGGGGGTGACATAAAGAGATGATGATTAACTAAAATGTGTTTGCATTAGCTTGTGGTAAATGGAATGAAAAGTTTAATGGCCATTAAAGGAATTCAGAGTAATATTCAAATCATAGGGAGACAACCAAACTCATTTCCTCATACGCCTTTGGGATATTATGTAAAGAAAACTCCCTTAGCATTTTATCCACTGCTGACTCATAAAGCGCTGCCATTGGAGGAGCATATTTTTTCAATTAGAAAGCTGAGCCATATGGAGGGAGAAAATACTATCTACTACTTTTACCAGTTGACCGGCAGTTTGAGTGCCCGTGCAAGGCAGTGGGACATTATGAGTTTATACTTTAATTTCAAAGTTTGACATCTAAGTGTGAAGAGTGACGGCTGAGTGATTGCCTGAGTGTTAGAGCAATATCATAGATCTCCCAGAGTCTCAGCAGCCCAGACCTCTTCTAATCTGCTCATCTGTCCTTCCTGCTGGAAATGACAGAAAATCACGCATGTTGGGGGGGGGGGATTTTCTGTATGAAATGGCTGTAGACCACTTGTCATTGGCTGAGACTTGAGCGACATGTGGCATCGCGGGATAATTTGGGAGAGGGATCTGCAGGACTGGGAATATTATTTATGACATTTACATACATACTACTATTCTGATCTTCAATCTTGTCATGGCTTTTATTTATAATGTTGGGGATATGTTTATGTTTCAATGAACATATATAAACCTGGTTATTAATCTCCTATACATTATTGGTATTATCAAGGAAGTCTTTAATTCCGTTTAATCACCGTGGCATGTATTTTGGAGAAGCATATTATTGGCATCTTCCTCTCCTTAGAAGTTGAATTACTCACTTAATTAGTTTTACAAACTGTTAAATAAATCATTTGTAATAATGTAACTCATAGACACGATTCATTATTTTTCCCAATTACCGTTTGATTACAGCCCTACTCTAGCAAGTATATAAAAATTGACTTTTTTATCTATTTCTGCACCACATTTTTACAGTTATATTTATTTCTCTGATCATGTTCATTTAGATAAATCTTATAAGGCTATCATAGACGCAGCATAATTAGCTTCTGCCTCGGTAAATCAGATGCCAATTTCATGCAGATTATGAGCACAAGTTGAATGAGAAGCGCAGCCAAAACGCATATCTGGCCTGCGTTTGCAATGGGATTTTAAGGTTAGGGTAATTATGTCATCTCACAGTGTTTGAGTAACAACTAAAAACTAGAAGCCTTTTCATCACCAGCGTGTCACCAGCTAACTTGGCTATAGAATGATTGTATTCGTAAATGTTAATAGCTAGAATTTGCGATTGCTTTATAAATGTTTGATATGCACACCAGATATGAATTTAACATTTCAATTTGGGCTTCAGAGCGATACTTCTACTTCTGTTAGTCTGCATGTTAGTTCTCTTTTACCCATGCCATCAAGAGGATCCAAAACACAGCAGCCCATCTGCCATCAGTACCATTAGCACTCACAATTCAGGACTGAACTCAATGGATAACCCGTTTTATTGTCATGTCGCCCAGCAGGGGCAAACCTGCTTGCTGCCAGTCTGTAATTACCCATCACTTTATTTGGATTGCACTTTGTAATGCTTCTGAGAGCTAGCTGCGGCGAGAGGCGTGCCCTACCCCAAGAGATGGCCGGAGAAGCAGCAGGAGCACATGGAGCTGTCGGAGAGTGACAGCAGGCGTACACAGCTGACCGAGTTTGGGATCAGGGGCTCCTCCCCTCCGCTGCCCTCAGCACCCGGCTGGCACCGGCTCACAGTTGGCACATCCCAACGTGAATTGGTGCCATGCATTGAAACACATCCTTTACTTTTCAATCTGTAAGAGTATGCAGTGAAAACAGACAGTGTTGACGCTATGCTGTTTTTGTTTGGTTGGGTGTATTTATAGCATTTGTTTCTGTTCGGAAGACATCCTGCTGGCCTGGTATGAGACTCCCACAATGCAGCATTATAACTCAGATGGAGAATGACAGCAAAGAACTGGAATAAACCAGTTTGTACGTGCAATATCTTTACTTCTCCAGTCATCTTCCGCCCTCCCTGTCCTGCAGGGGGCCTGACCTTTCCAAATAAAACTCCTCCTTTCTTACAAAGCTCTAACCAATGTTGCTTTTCCCTTTGACACACAACAACAAGACTAGATTTTGAATCTGTTAGCATTGAAGGAATTTGTCTTCATCCAATTGTTTTGCGGATGGATCAGTCCTTTAATCCTCTTGGCTTTTTAGAACTTTACGGCAATTGATACTCCACCAAGAGGCAGTTTGAAAGAAGCATAACAGTGAGGTTTGTTTATTCAAACTGACGGTAGCTTCTTTAAACTGGTTAAAGCGTGAGCTAGTGGTGTGTAGAGTAAGAGAGGCAGAGAGTTTTCAGGGAGCAGGTGTTAGATTTATGTTTTGTGGCTGACCTAATACTGTGCACATTACAGGGTGACAGTGTTTATGTTGTGTAACTAAAGATTTATACTGTGGGGATTCAAGTGGGAGATTTTTATAACATCACTCTTAAGATTTAATCCTCTTGATTCTCAATCTCGACTCCTTTCCCTGGCCAATCATAGTCAAGCTGGTTATTTATGATTTGTGGAAGAACAATTACATAAAAGTTCTTTACTTTATACTGTAGTGAAGATTGTTTTCATATTGTACGTAAAGTTATAATACTCTTTTGGTTGTTTTTTGAAAGGGCCTGAAGAAGGAAAAAAATAATAGAGCAACAAAATGACATTTTAATTCAAGTGCATGAAGACATCAGGGTTTTGTCTGAAAATGGTAACAGGGGCGCTTTGCCCTCTTTCTTTCGGTGCGCACCCACATACCAAAATGCCGATTTTCCCAGTAAATGTTTAACCTGATGCCAGAAAACTATATTTCTGTTCTGTCAAAAACTGTGTTTTTAATGCAAAAATATGAAAATCGTGTCAAATAGAACGTTAGACGCTCTGAATACATAGGGATCGATGTCTGGTCGTTCTGCCGGTGGACGGGTGGCAGGCAGCAGGCTTACACTTAAACTGTGATTTCTAAAATAGATTGTTTCTTTCACTGTGCTTTTTTCTGTAGAGGAAGTAAAGAAACCATAACTTTGGATGTATTTGTTGTTTGAGGTACAATAAATTACTCAGCAGCTTTAAGACATGAATAAACTATTATTTTCGCTTGGTTCTAATGCCTTATTTTCGCTGGAAATTGGGCAGGGCAGTCATTTTAGCCAGAGGTGACGTTAGCGCCCTCATCCTATATTCTTCTAGAAGAACCCCTGGACTTTATATATCAAGTTAATATCCAGTATTTTCTTAATGTTGATATCTCAGCGAGGAAAAGGAAAGCTTGCCCGCGACACTCAAAGTAAATAAGGGCTTCAACACTTTGCTGCTTGTATCAGTCAGGCAACAGTCCTCACAATTGTTTGTTGGCTTTCTGTGTTCAAAGATTGCAGTTTTTTTAATAAAAGAAAATTCAAGCACATAGGCCATACAGAGAAATGGTAACTGTTGGGGGTTGGAACAGTAATGGACTTTCCTAATGGACATAATGTTACTCAAAGAGAAACAATCCGGATGATAAAGAAATATCAAAAGAATCAGCCTTGGGTAATGGAAATACTCTTACAGCTCCAGTGAAACACGAATGTTGGCACAGTTGTGTGTCTGTGTGTGTCTGACAGCCAAGTAATTCAGAAACATGGTACAAACAGCTAATCCATATCTATCCTGTACTTTCAACATTGCTGGTCCTCCCGGGGAGATTGATTGCCCAAAGCCATTTGGTTTCCACTGTGTCAGAGCCACTGCTAGCTGGAGTTCTCCTCTTTTTTTCTTTGTCAGGGAGAAGATTGTAAGCAACGAAAACCTATCAATGTACAACTCTTTCTGCAGCAGTTTTATAAAGTATAATGTTGTAAACAAACCACATCTGGCAATCACCAATTAGCATAGCCTAGGCTGAATAAGTACGCTCGTTTCACTATGACAGTCTGCACTCCGAAGTGGAGAGTTTGGTTAACACGGCATAAGCTTAAAGTGAACATCAAACTGTTTGTGTTGTTAATAAAAACACGTAGTTTTCTCCCCCACACAAACTTCTGCAAGTGGCATCTGTAAAGAACGATTGAAGAGCCAATAGTTGTGTTCACGATTCAATACGATTATTTTCCCTGTGGGGATATTTGTTCTAGATTATTTCCTGCAGTTTCACACAACATAAAAATAATGTATACTATAAGGTGATGAATGAAATAACATAAAGACACATGACCTAAATGTTTGCTTAAACACAACACACAGACAGACCTGCAATGGCGACCTATTGGACAACCCTTATGGCCAACATCAACATCTGTATGACACTGCATGGGAGTGTTGAGAAGCTAAATGGTCGAGGCATGAAGGAGTGTTCGTAACACCTGCTCTTGGTAACCCTAAATCTCCCACTAGAAGAGAAGACCTACAATTTTGGGTGGAGAATTTGGTTGGAATCATCAGACACAATTTGTTATGCCTGTCTAATGAGGGGAAAGCTCAACACCGGGTTTTTTTTTTCATTAAAAATAGGGTTAGCGTGGCTAAGGTGGAAAAATAGGTTCTTCGATTAGAAACATCTGCTTCAATGTTGAGACAAAAAATAACAGCAATCTGCGGCATCTAGAGTAAACTGAAAGAGCTATTGGTAGATGTATTCATCTCCCCTGTTGTTATTTGCCTCAAAGTGAGGTGCAAAAATGCATTTCTAAGTTCTGCTGCAGTACTGTAATCGGCTAGGAGCACAGCTAGTCAAATCAAGTGGGTTATTTTGTTATGCAAAAGCCCCTCTTTGTGTTCTCTTTGCTGCAGCTCAGCAACGAAGCACCGTCTGAGAAAACACAAAGAGGGAATTTAGTAGCAAAAGACTTCAAACTTTGGCAGATACTTTATTTGGCTAACTGAGATTGCTTAAACCTCATGCTAGCTTCCGATGCATTTCACTAAGTTGTTTTTTTTGTAAAGATCAAGAATGGAATTTGACTTCCATCACTAACTCTAGAGTTACACAAGACCCTTCATGGCAAGTACAACAAGGGTAAATGAACAGCAACATACAACCATTTGAATGTACTTTGCATATGGCCATAAGTATTTATTAAAGGCAAACTTAAATAATTGTGTACATATACCTCAATGGAGTATGTCCATGTAAGAATGCAAACCTTTAGTATCTACCAATACAATAAGTCCAATAGACTTTTTTGCACACTTAGGCCGTTTCTCAATGTCGAGTATACTGTACCTGCTGCAGAGCCACTATTTCAAATATACTACGTCATCGAGTGGCGCCGAATGCTGGGCATTTAACATGCATTTAAACAGTCCTTCGGCGTCACTCGATGACGTAGTATACTTGAAATAGTGGCTCTGCAGCAGGTATACTCGACATTGAGAAACGGCCTTAATGATAACATAACATCACATAACATAACAACATTGCATTAAGTTTACACTTTTATGCAAATGACTTACAAAAGTGTAACAAACCATAACGATTTAAATTCATTACATAAAGAAAAGTGCGAACATATTCACTTCATTAGGCCAGACCATTGTGTGTGCTGGAGCATTAGTTAAACTCTTGCTGTGCTGGAAGTACAAGCGAAACAGTTGGATTTTCAGTTGGCAACGGAAGATGTTTCTGCTGTCCCTATATCAGTGGGAAGCTTGTTCCACCATTTTGGAACCAGGATAGCAAACATGTGTGTTTTCTGTTTGGTGGGTTTGTGGTATACATGTTACAAAATGTCTAGATGTAAAAAAAAGTTCCATCCCGAAGCAAATGAGTGAATCCCATTTTAAAGGTCCCATGTCATGGCCATTTCTATTGATCATAATTCCATTGTTGAGGTATACTAAAATAGATTTAAATTGTGCAATTATCCAAACTCACATTGGTTTCTCATACAGCATCTCTGTATAGTATGTGTATTCACTCTCTGTCCTAAACGGCTTGTTGGAGCTCCTGCCCCCACTCCCTGTGAGCCCAGTGTGCTCTGATTGGTCGCGACTTTGACAGGCTCGTTATCGCAGACAGGCTTCCGTGTCGGCGATACAGGAGAACAAGCGAAACTCATCCTGAGCACACACAAACACTCACAGCCGAAGCAAAAACAATAAGTGCGGCTTGATATTGAGTAAGATTTATAACATTATAATAATATTAGGTTTATAACGCTGTGAGAATGGGTCTGCGGAGAGCATTTCTCCGCGATCCCAATGTAGTAGCCCGAAAAACGTTTACCCTTTTAAACAGTCGTGGTAGATACCTTGTTTGTATTAAACATCATAAATACACAAACAACAATGAATACTTACAGGTTGTGTACCCGAATCTCCCGCTGGTCCAAACAAATTAGGAACAGCATCGTTCTTCAGTGCCCTACGCTGTACATATCCGGCATGAATCGCTGAAAGGTTTGGGAAGCTTTGTTTCGTGAAAGGCTGGCAGAGGGTGTGGCCTCTGGGTATCCCCACGTCACAGTACCCAGGAAGTAAACAATGGAAAATGAAAGATCTTTTCTGTGTTAGAGTTTTACTCGCTACAGGGTGTACTTTGAGGGTTTTTGACTATGCAGACCGTTTACATGCAGAAAAACCTTCATAAC